TAGTAAGATTCCTCCTCTGATTCAACTAGTGGTCGTTTTACAGTCCAGGACAATCATTCGAGGTGAGTAATAGGTACAACAATCTTTATTGCAATGGGAAAATGGATCCCTAGAAGAAGCCACTTGGGAAGATAATATGTTGATTGTACTAGCCTACCCTCATTTCAACCTTGGGGACAAGGTTGATTTCGATGGAGGGAGTAATGTAATGAGGGTGCAGACAGAAAATGGGTCGGATACCGTTAGTAACAAGTCAATGAGAGGGAAACATGTGGATGATAACAGAGATAGCAAGAGAAACACACGATCCAAGAGGGAGAGTGTGTGGTTGAAGGACTATGTGACCTAGCAGCAAAGGTTTAAAAAGGTAAAATCGTTAAAGGAGAGAGGAGGAAAAATGGTTGAATTCATCTCTCTCTACAATTCACTTTTCCTTATTCTCTGATGTTTTTGTGTTCTAGGCTGATATGAACCTTTGAATGAAATAATTCTATTACATTTCTATTGTGTTGTTATTGTTGTTTCATTTTTTAGTATTTGTGTTACTGTTACATAGTGGAGGTGCTTACAATCGTTCGTGAGAAAATTCAACAAGGCCTAATTCATCTTTTTCCTGTTTCGTCTTCCAACCAACTTGCGGATACTGTTACTAAACATCTTCATCATATAACTTTTGAAAATTCTATATCTAATTTTGGTCTTTATGTTCACTGTCCAACTTGAAAGAGAGTATTAGCATAATTGTTTTTCTATAACAAATCCTGTTTTTTCCCTTTTGTATTATTTTTAGTTATGACAGATTTTTTTCTCTTTTGTTCTACGGGGTTATATATATACTCTGCTTGTACTCCTTTTTAGGGTGAGAAATTCTTAATAAAAACTGATGAATTCTATTGTCCATATATAAATAGTAAGAATATCATCTACCTCAATTGTTCCTAGTCAAAAGGGGATGTAAGATAAAGTCCTAAATCATTTACCTTAATTTTTCAAGTATGGTTGTCACTTTCGCCTAACGTCAATCGTTTTTTAAGTTGAAATCTAATAATTGAGAAAGCATGATATTTATAGTTTTCATTGTGATATTTGTGACCTTGAAAAAAAAAGTTATAAACTTTATTTTCATAAAAGACCTCAAAAACATGTTTGCAAATTATTCACTGTTAAAGGATTTTTTTTCTTTTTTATTCAATTATTCATTCAAATTTTGTGACTTAAAAATAGTATGTATTGTCTTACAACTTATTATTATGTTGTGTCATCATATTATATAAAGCATTGTATCATAATTTTTTTTATATAATAAATCACCATGCAAATATCTTAGTTAACATAAAATTTTCAAAATACTCACACAAAAATGTTATTATTGTGTATCATATGTAATGAGACGTATAAATGTAATATATCTTGACTTTTAATTTTTTTAATGTCCATATTTCTCACTCTTTATTATTATACAAACACACAAAATATGAATTTAAATGCCAATGTCATGCATGAATATATAATGATATATTTTTGTCAAAATATATGTCCTTGATTCTTATTATTTTAATTTAAGTTTATAAACGACGATGTGAGATGTAGGAATATATAATGATCTAATTTTCTTGAGATAAATATCATTGAGTTTTTATTATTATTTCATTAGACATGCAAATGTGATTGTATGATGTTAAATTCATAAATATTATTAATTCTATTTTATATTAAAAAATTATTAAGAAATTTTTTTCATTTTTATTATATATAATATTATCAATGATTGTATTTAAATTTCATAACAATATTATATGTCAAATATATTAGGTATCACAAATTATTTTCAATTTGTCGTCATGAGTATTAATATTACAAATTCAAATATATTTATAGTTTTATATATCATTTATTACTAAAATTAAAGGATGTGAATGTTGTGATTTTAAAGAAATTATAATAGATTAAACTTTATAATTCTAATACTGATATAATTTTAATGTTATCTAATATAATCAAATATGATGTAAATATTTGTTTAGTATTTCTTTGATATGATATAAATACTGTGAAAAAATAGTTTATGCAATACAAAATATTTGACTCTCTACGGAAAATCAAGAAAAACCCACTCAATATAAAGAAAATAAAAGCGCGTAGTGGACAATCCATATACTTATTTCCTTACAAAATGGGACATATAAGCTAGAACAATTATTCAAAAAAATGATCATTATCAATGGCCACATTAGAAAAGTAAATTCATACGTGCTTTAGAAAAGTAAATTAATACATGTTTCATATAATTAACTCTTTACATAATGGAACATATAAGCTAGAAGATTTATTGTAACTATGCATGAGGTAAATTCATACATCAACAAAAACATCCTCCTAACACAAAGCTAATTAATGTGAAAAAGTGTAATGGTAGCTCACCAAAACATTTATTATTGCATTTGGCCCTGAGCTAAATATGTCAGAGGTTATGAAACTCACCAAAATATTGTTTAAGCTCTAAGCTAAACAGGATAGAGGTAATGAAACATGCTAAATATTAATTTAGCCCAAAGCTAAACATGGCAAAAATAATGAAATTCGTCAAATATTATTTTAGCTCCAAGATAAACATACCGGAGGTAATGAAATTCATAAAATATTATTTTAGCTACCACAAAGATAATGAAACTCACCAAATATTATTTTAGTCTCCGCAACATGTCATCACTAAATATAGCTATTGCAACATGTCATTATTGGGTGTAACAATCATAACACGTCAATATTCTCACCTAAAATTATATATTGTGAAATGATGAAACTATCACAACTCATCAAATTTATTGGCAAAAACTATAGTGTGTAGTTTTTGTAGCTTATCTTAAATAAATAAAAAGTTAATTTAGCTATATCTCAAATTATCTGACCTATATATTAAAACCGAATTAGGTTTTATTTGAATTATATTCATCCCAATCATATATTCAAACCATATCAAATTAGATTTTATCCAAAATATATTCATCGAAGTTATATAATTATCTGAGTATGTCATTGTGTCATAATAATTATTCGAGAACATCATTTGAACGTATCATTATATATAGTACATCATAACACTTAATCACTAATATAGAACAATAATCAAGCTTATGTTAACAAAAAATCATATGTCTATACGAATTTGACCTCTGTAGTATACTTCAAAAATATGTTCTACACCAGATAATAACTCTAAATTGAATATATTTTTAAGCTTAATTATAGATTAAGCATATCTTGCTCATAGAATTGAACACACGTCAATTATTGTTCTAAATAAAACTCATGTCTACTTTAATAATACTTTGTCATTATGAATTGTAAAGTTATCTTGAATAGACTTGGTACACTTGTAATAAATATCAAAATAATTTACTTCCTCAAAAAAAGTCTTATAAAATTTCACTTATGAAGCTTATGTCAACCCATTTATTTACACTAAAAATAGACTTTGAACTCGAAACGTATATACCTACCCAAATTCTTAAATTTATAACATTTATTACATAACAAAAATATTCCCTTTATCAATATATATTACTTGGTTATTAACATTAAATATATATAATTTATTATTTAAAATACCTTGTTAAAATATTTATAAATAAGACATCTATATTATCTACCTATTATCTAATTTTTATTTAGAGACTTTTGTATCGTTTTATAAATACGTATCATCTTAGAAGAAGTTGTAGAATTTAATTTGAACTCATTTGTAGACATTAGTTTTATACCCATTTTGAATTTTAATTTCTATAACTCATGATTCTTTAATCAATTTGTATTATAATCATTTTCTAATTATTCTTACGGTATCTTAAATTTATATAATTTATATTGTTGTAAAATATTATAGATAAAAATGGATTTTGATCCATTTTCTATTTTGAGTTTTTAGAGGATTTTTTAATTGTAACGAAATATTATTATTTCATAATCATAAATACATGTGTTTCTTGAATTTCTAATCGACCAAGTTGCAGTCTGTGTTATATTTGGTAGTTCTTAAATTCTAAAATCATAAATAGGCGCACATAATTGGGTACGAGAGCATTTGGTTACAAACATAATTTACATGATATGATGAGTTTGAGTAGGTTTATATATATGCCTTGTGATAATAATAATATTTATTATTATTATTATTATTATTATTATTATTATTATTATTATTATTATTATTATTATTATTATTATTATTTTTCACTTGTTTACATATGTTTTTTGTCCTAAAACAGATTTTGACTATAATTTCCGTCACAAAACATGATCTTTCTTAAGCTTTATCACAAAGCAGATTCTGTCTATAATTACGTCACAAAACATATTCATCATATATATTCATGCTTTGCGAAAATTGTTTCTAGTAAAACGTATTAAAAATATAGACAATTATCTATCCGATCATCTATCCAAAAATATACACTAAACATTAATAAGATTATAACTTATCTCTTATTTTATCATTACTTAGTGTTTGATGTATACGTTTTTACATTTAATTTTATCCTTATGATTATTACTTCCGGACATGTATTTCTTTTTCACTATTATTACTCACATAACCACTCCACACTTCCGGACATTGGAGTTTAAAATTGATGGCCGCAGTGCACGGTATACATTTTGAAGAAGTTTGTTTATAATTACATCACAGTTATCATCACATGGTTTAAACAATGATATTGGGATCAAACATAAAGCAAACAGGGAAGATTCTAATCAATAGCAACAAAACAAGAACTAGCATACGGAACATCAGTAAGACAACATTCTCAAAATCTACTGATCGAAGATAAAAATTGCACCTTCTTACTAGAAAAAAATATAATTTTTAGGAAGAGTTTTTATCAACCCCTCTCTTATACATAATGTGAACTCAGGGCTATATGACACAAGATGATGCCATTTTGACATGTTTAACAGTTGGGAAAACTTTGTCCTACTCAGAACAGCTCCAATTTCCAAACACCATGTCTGTAGCATGGAAGAAGGAACGAGCAGATGCTACACTCAGAGAAATGGGTCTGCAAGATGCCATCAACACAAGGGTTGGAGGGTGGAGTTGTAAAGGCCTGAGAGGGAGACAGAAGAGAAGACTTAGCATATGCGTTGAGATTCTTACACATCCAAGACTCCTCTTCCTTGATGAATCAACTAGTGGCCTTGATAGTGCAGCTTCCTATTACGTTATGAGTGGAATTGCAACTCTCTAAGGGATGGAATTCAAAGGACTATTGTTGCTTCCATCCACCAGCCTAGCAGTGAGGTTTTCTACCTTTTTCATGATCTTTGTCTTCTCTCTTCAGGAGAAACAGTACATTTTGGACCCGCCTCTGATGCAAATCAGGTTAGGAACTAAAATATCACTTTTAGGCATGAAGTTGACTTGATAAATATAGTGATACTCTTCCTTTGATGCAGTTTTCTGCTTCAATTGGTTTTCCTTGCCCAACTCTCTACAATCTCATGAACATTACCTTAGGATCATAATAAAAATTCCATTGAGGTATATATGTCCAAACCGAGTCTCCCTAGTTTATTTGGATGCCTAGGGCAGTTAGGTATTTAGAATTTAAGTGTGTTGAAGTCTCACATTGAGTAAAAATAGGACAGTTGAGTAATTTATAAATGAGAAAAATCCATAATCTAATGTTTTAAGTTTTTTTTTTAAGTGATGTTATATTCTCTTATATGCACTCTGTTGTGTTAACTCTGAATCTTTTTTTTTTCTTCTAACTTCACCCAGTGAAAGTCCTATCATTTCTCTTGTGTCTCCTGTCCTTGAATCAAACAAGTATAATGCATGGAGTAAGTCCATGCTTACTTCTTTAAGCGCAAAGAATAAGGCCCAATTTGTTGATAAATTGTTATCAATCCAAACAAGGAGGATGCCTCTTACAATGTTTGGAAAAGGTGTAACAACATGGTGGTCTCTTTGTTGGTACACTCGATTTCGTCATATATACGACATAACATTCTTTGGATGAAGAGTGCTCAAGCTATATGGGATGACCTAAAGTTAAGATTTTTTTCAAGGGGACCTCTTACGCATTTCAGAATTGCAGAATAAAATAACATCTTTGAGACAAAGGAGATAGTACTATGACAAAATTCTTCACTAAACTACATGTGATATGGGACGAGCTCAAGAATTTTTGCTCTAAACCAATGTGCTCGTGTGAAATAAAGTGTTCTTGCAAGATGGCTTTAGTGATTACACAAAGAAAAATTGAAGATCATGCACATCAATTCCTACGAGGTCTAAATGAGCAGTATGGTAACATCCAATCTCATGTCCTTCTAATGGATCTCATACCTCCCATCTCGAAAATTTTCTCTTATGTTGTGCATTAAGAAAGACAAATAATGAGTAATATTTTTCTCATTGGTTTAGAAATAAAGAATGTTACTGCTGTTAATACTGTTTCATGCTCATATTGTGGTAAGTCTGGGCACACTGACTTTGTTTGTTTTAAGAAACATGGTTTTCCTACAAACAAGAATTCAAACAATAGAAAGATTTATTCTCATTGCGACAAGAATGGTCACACCATTGAGGTGTGCTATAGAAAGCATGAGTTCCCTCCTAGACACAAGTTCTACAATGAAATTTTTTTTTCTCTCTAGAAGTCAAGAATAAAAAATTGATACGCAAGGATAAGCTCTTGATCACAAAATGCATCTAACACAACAACAATGTCAAGCTCTAATGGCTCTTATCAACTCTACTAGTGATACAGGAGTAACATCCACTAATCAAATAAGTTCTATCATCTCCAATTCTTCTAATTAAGGTAAAAACATTTTGGCTTTAATTCATATGAAGATAGAGATATAGTTTCCTGGATTCTTGATTCTGGAGCAACAGATCATATTGTTGCTTCTCTTAATTATTTACAATTCTATGAAAAAAGTTAATCCTGTTACTATCAATTTTCCTAATGGTATGAAGACCATGGCCACTCACAAAGTGATAGTTAAAATTTGTGACAAAATTCTTTTAAAAGATGCTCTCTTTATTCTAGATTTCTTTTATAATCTTATTTCTATATCTAAATTAGTTGCACATAATGATATACACATTACATTCACTAACACTGCTTGTTTTATTCAGGATTCGAAAGTAAGCAAGAAGATTGGTTCAGTTGATTCTCATGTTAGGTTATACATCTTTAATGGCACAAACAGTATACCACAACACTAAGTTAATTATGCTAATAAGACTCACGTATGTAAGATTGATAATAAAAACCTTTGGCACAATCACTTAGGTCATATTTCTGATAGAAGATTAGATATCTTGAAGCAAAAGTACTTTTACATTGACTCTAGAGTATATAATTGCAATGCTTGTCATGTAGCTAAGTAGAAAATATTACCTTTTTCTTATAATGATTCTTATGTTTCACATGCTTTTGATGTCATTCATGTTGATATTTGGGGGTCATGTTCTATTTCATCTTACATTCTCATAGATATTTTCTAACTATTGTTGATGACCATACTCAATATACTTGGGTGCATTTAATGAAGAAGAAATTTGAAACACGCCAACACATTATTCATTTCATTGCACATGTTTAAAATCAGTTTAAAACTAGTATCAAGATCATTAGGTCAGATAATGGTAATGAGTTTGTCATGCATGATTACTTTAATTCTAAAGGTATAATTCATCAAACATCTTGCAATGAAACACCTTACCAGAATGGTATAGTTGAAAGAAACATCAACACCTTTTGAATGTTACTAGAACTTTATTATTTCACTCTAAAGTTTTGTTCCATTCTGAAGGTATAATTTCTATAGCAAAATATCTTCTGGTCGTGATCCCATTGACGATCCTAATGCTTTTTGAAGATTGATAAGGAGGCTCATCTACCTCACCAACACCCACCCTGATATCACCTACATTGTTCATCGTTTAAGTCAATAGTTCCCTCTCCAACTATACACCATAAGTTGCTTTCATAATCCTGCGTTACATTAAGCAAACTCTTGGTCAAGGTATATTTTAAAGGCTACTGAGAACATCACTTTCAAAGCTTATAGCGATTCTGATTGGGCTGGTTGTCTTGACTCTCGAAAATCCACCACTGGCTATATTATTTACCTGGGTGACTTGCCTATATCATGGAAATCGAAGAAACAATGGATATCGAAAAAACAAACAATTGTTTCACTCAACTCTTCAGAAGCTGAGTATCGTGCACTTGCTCAAACTATTTGTGAATTACAATGACTAAGCAACCTCATGCACTGTTGGGTATCCAAGTGTGAGTTAAGTCCTACATTGAGTAATAATGAGAAAGTTGAGCAACATATAAGGAAATATGACCCATAACCCAAATGTCTTAAGGTTTTGGGTTGAGAGTGTTGTCAATCCTTATGTGGATTGGACTCATGTCTCATTAGTTTGTTTCGTCCTTGTGAATCCCCCCTCAAAAGACCAACAAGTGGGGGTTGGAATCATGTCTTATTAGTGTGTTTCTACCCTATGAATCTCCCCTCAAAAGACCCAACAAGTAGTGAGAAGAGGAAACACATATTGGACTTGGTTTATTATGATGTGTTAGAAGTCTTCCTATGGATCCCACAATCCACAAGGTTATTGTTAGCGGTGATACAAATATTATTTTTCTTCAAGCTAAACTTAGAGAAATGATTGGTGTGACCCAACCAGAAGACTTAAAGAAAAATGAAACTTGGTTTGCAGGTCTTAGTACAAGAGATTTGATTCTTCTTAATTACAACAGACTAATTTTAAACTATTGTACCTATTATAATAAATTTGATGAGAATGATTTTATCATTTTTTTCATTGTATGTGAATGACTTATTGGTGGTAGGCTCCAACAAAGTTTGAATCCAGTTTTGAAGGCACAGTTGGATAGAAAGTCTGATATGAAGAACTAGGGACCAACAACAAGATTTTATGGATGTAAATTCACCAAGGCAGAAAATATAGGAAGGTTTGGCTTTATCAAAAAAATTACTTACTGAAGGTCTTGCAGTGCTTCAACATGCAAGGGTGTAAGCTACCAGTTTTTACCCCATTTCTATCAAGTTGTCCTCAAATATGAATCCTAGCAATAAAGTAGGGCGGATGGAAATGTCTCGCATACTGTATACATCAATGGTGGGAAGTCTTATGAATACTATGATCGGTACGAGACCAGACATTGCACAAGTAGTGGGAGCGATTAGTAGATAAATGAAAAATTGTTTTGGAGAGCATAAGGTTTATCAAGAGAATTCTTATCAAAGGAACCTTGGATGTTGTATTATGTTTCGGAGGATCAAAACTAATTTTCAAATGTTATGTTTGTTCAGGTTTTATAGGTGATCTTGATGACTTTACCTTTGTTGGAGAGGCAATAACTAGTTATCATATAAGTTGAGTACATGGCAGCAACCCAGGCATGGAAGGAAGCTATTTGAATTAAGAGGATAATAGAGGAACTCGGGCACAAGTAGTAAAAGATTGTTGTGTATTCTGACAATCAGAGTGTCTTACACATTGCAAGGAATTTTGCCTCATATTTTAGGATAAAGCAAGAAGAACCTAATAGATGTTAGCCGGTTAGTAATGACAATTTTATATAGAGGCGATCCTACTGAAGGTCTATTGCAATAAAAACATGAAAGACAGTAATAATATGAATGTGAGAAAAGAAGTCTCACATCAGGAAAATTATATTTTGGTGCTTATTTTTCCTATTATAAAAAGGAGTAACATGTCTACTTTATAAATCACCCTAAATCTCTTCCTTCACCTTTCTACTAGTGCATTACATAATAATTGAGTCTCTTATTTCTGAGAGAGAATATTATTATTATTATTTTCTCCTTAGCTTTAAAGAAGGTATTGTGATTTCTTCCGATAGTAAAATTCTATTATTGCCTATTGTCGATTTTGTTTCTTTTTTCTCATTTTTTATTTTAATTGTGATTTCTTATGCAGTTACTCTGATTACTAACAACCTTGGGTCTTGGTTACAACTTTGGAGAGCTATCACGTATATAAACACTTGAAGAAAGCCAAATTTAGAGGAGATGGGACTTGAAGCAACTGCACTTTAAAAAAAAAAAAAGGACTTGAAGGAGATCCAAGGTTTAACTCTTAGTTGCAACATTTGAGAGTTTTTTGGTATATAAACTCATAAATGTAATTAAAAGTGGTCTAGGTGGGACTTGAAGCTAGGAACTTCGGTCATCACTTGTATAAGGCAAAATTAGTCCCACATTCTTCCTTGGAGAGACACCAATTTCTTAGAGCTTTATAATAGAACCAGTGGTGGTCTCTCATCCTGTGAGGCTAAGTATATAACTGCCTCTGAAGTAGCTTATCAAGCAATTTGGCTGAGTTCACTAATGAAGAAATTGAAGATAAAACAAGCATGTAAATTAAAGTTGTTGATTGATAACAAATCTTAAATAGATCTTGTCAAGCACCCAATCTCTTATAGTAGAAGCAAGCACATTGAGAC